ATGAAAATACTAATCTAAAAAAATTAAATAAGACGGATGGTCAAACGTTGCACACAAAAACTCATTGCTGCACTTGAAATGGATCGGAGGAAAGGGAGTAGTAATTATATATGAATTTATCATGTAGCAAAAAACCGTACCATACATTTTGAAACAACTGATTGTTTCCTATCCATTCCTACGAAATTCCATTATAATGGTCCATTCTAGTGTAATATTGGAGGAAAAAAAGTATGAAGTCTTACCTCATGTTTTTCTCTTTACGTGTCTATGAATCCTGCGCTTTTCCTATGTATTAATCAAACGATAACGTTAATTAAAACTTTAATGTATTTTAAAATCCCATAGGAATCCAATGAGTATGACATTCTATTATTATGTTTTTCATATTGTTGTGTTTTTCTCAATCCAGTGTTCTGATGGGGCCCAAAATATCTGGAGAGTTTAAAAATTATGTCACAATATAAGGATTTATTCACCTACTTAGTTATCTAAATCAATCATAACCATCTCTTCATCACGTTATAACCATTTTTCATCACCTCAGATTTTTCTCTTTTTTTGCTAAAACTTCTTGATCAACGCCAATATTTTTATGAACTATTTTCTACCCTATTTAAAATGTATGGTGTTTTAGTTTTATTCAAGTTAAAATAATTTTCAAGTTTGTTTAGAAATATAAGAATTTTTGTGCTTGCTTTGCGCGCGAGCATTGAAATGACCTGAGTGGAATGAATATTAAGATAACTAAAAGAAATCAGATAAATTGAATATGCTATAAAAAAATATATAGCAGCATCTATAAAACCAAAACACCTTCCATATTAAAATGGAGCGAGCACTGATGAATGTAGTGTATCGGATGCAACGTTTTCCTCGTTTTATTTTCAGATCAATCTGTTAGTTAACAGTTTGTTAACTGCGCAATTATTTCAGCAACGCATGCAGCGTCCCTCCAAAAAACAACAGCTTGGAAACAGTGTCATAATCACATCATGCAGCTGCTGCAGGAAGCGCAGATGGAGTAAGTCCCAACTACAGCAGGCGTATCTCTTGCTGATCTGTTGCATCTGCGTGCTTCTTCTAATTAATCCACCTGTGATTTCTCTCTGAACTCGATCAATCTTTGTTTTTCTTTGAGAAGAAACTTTTTTCCTCCAGGGATATCGACAAATTAGCTGTAAACTCTCTGCATTTGCTTGAGAATCTTGACTCTGAAATGTCACTTCCCTGCTCCTTTCAAAAGTGACATTAGCCATGCAAAGTTTGCTGAATAATTATCGTGCTATAATGGTGATGCACATTGTTCCTAACTGCTCCACGAAACTTGCTCCCATGTTTGCATTTCAGTGAGAAGATTGGACATGAATTGTTTTTGTCATCATCAATGCATCCATGACAATTGTGACTGACAATTAAGTTTTTATGTTTGAGTTTCCTTCTGATGATCAGTGACATGACAATCTCTACTGTAAAAAAATGAAGTCAATAACTCTCTGAACAACTTGTGCATGCATATATCCTGAATGGTTACCATGGACCATTGCCATGAAATGTAATCAAGATCAATGATTAGCATGTTGCGGTGGCCCTCAGGCAAGATCCGGATTCTTCCTTCATGCTAGTTCAGATAGATCTAACTGTGTTCTACATTCTGTTTGGCACCTTGCATGCACACCAAAAACATTGTCAGGATGCCATTGTTTCTGCTGTGTACTCATTTGGATCTACAAACAACTTACATCTCTCAGATTTGGGTGTGCAGTTGTGCACTGTCACATTAACTGGACTTATCTTCTCCAGAATGGATAACGATCCTCAAATTTCTGACTATCTGAAATCCAAATTTTATCTCTGAACTGAACCTGAACTATCCTGAAAAATGGAAGAGAAGTCTTTTCAGTCTCAAATCACTCATTGGTCCTCAGATTGTTGCTATTGTGATTGGCTCCTGGTTCACATGACTGCTGTAAATTCTCTAAGCTTTAACACCAAACACACTGACAAAACAGTGCCAGATTTAGAGGAGAAAGCATGTGAGGCTTAGCTTACTTATTAGTGTTGCCATTGGTTTGAGAATTGAGATGCATGTGAGCCCTGGCATCTTGTTAGCAGAGGATGCTCTGATTGTTTAGTAGGAAATATTGTACTGGTCATGATTCTCTTGCCTAATTGCAGAAGCATTCATGGACTAACATCGTACTTAAACAGAGTTTTCTAGTCATTTCACTTAGTAATTTACACTGCCAGTGGTATCAAAAGATGATTTGGGACCATGTTGATTTAGTTCAGACAAGTATATCTTCAGGATAATAAACTCACATTGAACAGTTAGTTAATATGATGATCATGATGATGGTGATCTGAGTCATTTAATAACCATCCAGATCCTAACAGAAACTGCTCTTACATACAATATAATCGTTTACAAATATATATCTATCCTACCTAAATAACTATCCATCCCTGAATATGAACTATTGTTCTACCGATTTGTGTGGATCTTGTCAATTCAGTGGTCAGGGAGACAGAGAGAACTTTGATCAGGCAATGCATATGCTGTGATTGGCTGTCTAGCTAGTTAATCAGATCTAGATTACTTAAAATTTTCTGCATCTCCCAGCTTAATAATTAAACCATCGTCACTAAGTACTCGGTCACAATATAAAATGGATGTTTCTCTGTATCTGCAGTAGTAGCTAGAGCCAAAGTCTGTGCCCCTTGCATCCTAGATCTCCTTTTCTTGCTGGCACAATCATGCATAGCTGCATAATTTGGTTGGATGTCAATTTTTTTATTAATATAAAGCTATTAGCTAAATTCTAGCTCACAGTATGTAACAATATACATATGGATGCATGAATGTAAGGTTCAGTTTCGTTTGTACTGCACTACTATTCTGAAACTACCTTTTTAGTTTAACAACTACACCTTAACTATCCTGTCAAATTCATTATATGCAGAGTGACACTGCTATTCTTGGGTTGTCTCTTGAGCCTCCGAATTGATCTTGAGGGGCAAATCAATGCAAAACTAGCAAGTCAAGGGAATCAAATTGAAGTATTCTTTTTTAAAAGAAAAAAGTACACAAAGAAAATGTGGCACACAACCTGTATTTCAAGTAGAGACTGCCACTGTACAGCATGCACTGACCAGTCAACCATCAGTGTGCTGCTAGCTACTAGCTAGGTGATATTATATGATAAATACTGTACCATACTTGACAAAACATTGGATACTTCTCCCACATTTAACATTTGATGCAATTGATCAGCCCATAACCAATAAACTGAATGTTTTCAGATTGGAAGCAAAAAAGGGAAAGGAGTCCTCCATGTGTTGTAGCCTGTGCTTCCACTCCCAGTCCTATTTCAAATGTAGGATTTTTCTTTTCTGATTTCAGTTTTGAATAAATTGGTACTCGCAGGTATCCTAGCACTCCCTCTGTTTCAAAATATAAGCATTTTTATGATTTAAAATTTATACCATACTATAAGTATTTCTCCATCTGTTTTTTGAACTCTTTAATTATAACCATGTTTTATACTTCAACTTAATGTATGCTAAAACTCCTAAAATTGCTTGTATTTTTGGAACGGATCAAGCATCTATGATATTCCTTTCAAGTACTCCAACTTACCACTAGAGAGGTAAAAGCCTACAAAAAATATTAGTTATTGGTTATTCATGATATTTTTTTTTACCAAATACTCCCTCTGTTTGAAATTTAAAGGCATTCATGTTTATCGCAAAGTCATACAATATTTAACTATCAATGTACACTACACCACAAATACAATCAATCAGAGAAATTTTAACAGTGTGATCAACGACCGCTAGCTATAAAGATTGACACATCATTTACAACTAATCTAATAGCCCACCTATACAATAATTACATATAGATATATATTATACCATTAATATATTAATATATAGCACCTCTCACATACACACGCTGATGAGGTCCTCTACTGCAGTTGGCTACAATCATGTATAATTCTCTCTACTAGCTATCCTTCCCCTCCACCTAAACAAAAATCTTATCATGCAATTCTTATAGCTCGTTTATATTATCTCATTGTACTAGCTCTTATTACAGCATGCATATTATACTGTTATTGATAGTTTACCAATAATACCATTACATTAAGAGATTGATTATTGCACGCATACATGCATGAAGTTAGACTAGTGTGGTGATGCATTCACTACTCCAGAAACATACAAAATGGATAGCACTATAGGTGGTGTCCGTTCTTGTGTGTCTAGTCCTTGTTATGGAATGTTTTATTCTGTGATGAACTTGTGGCTTCCTCAACTCCCTCTGTGTTCTCTCAGTATCTTCCTCTATGTTGTTGAAAGTTGATACATGGATGTTATTTTTCCTCTTGAATGTTGATTCTATGATTATGTTCTTGGATGTTGGATCGATCTTAGGGGTGATGGGGTGATGGAATCTGGTGGTAAAGTGGAGTTGCTTTTTTTTTTTCATTACTGGAACCTCAAAAATGCTAGTTCCTAAACCGGCAACTTTAAGTCCTCTTTACAGGTACCGTCTGTGGGGTGGTGGTTGGGAAATCCGACACCTATGTCCGGTTCGCAATTGGCACCAATCACCTTTTTTTGTAGTAGTGATTAATATGCATTTCCTCTATTTCACATTATAAGATGTTTTGGGTTTTGAATAGAGTCATGCATGTATCCATGTATGTGTGCTTCGTATAAATGTCCAGATTCATATAAATATTAGTAAATCTAGACGAGGGATGGAGAGATGCCAAAACGTTTTATAGTGTGGAACGGAGGGAGTACGGTGCATGCGATAAGAGAAATTAATTATGACGGCATTTGGGTAAACTAGTTGGTTTCCTAGCTTGGCCTACGAGCTAGCCTCAAAACTAATATGCCTTACAATTTTCTACAAGGGGAGTAGCGGCAAGCTCTAGCTCCTGCTATATATATATATATATATATATAGAACACTCTCTTCAGCTGCAACCACTGTCTCGCATCGCATTCTAGCTCTAATTAATTGACTTCCTTGAAGCTAGCATTGCTAGTGCCGGAGATCGACGACGTCGGAGTCGGACGATGTCCAGGCGGAGCAGGTCGAGGGCGTCATCGGCGGCGAGGATCACCGACGAGCAGATCGGCGACCTCGTCTCCAAGCTCCAGGCCCTCCTCCCCGAGGCTCGCCTCCGCAGCAACGACAGGGTACGCCTGTGCATTGCAGCTTTTGCGACGACGCCATGGCCGGCTTTCTGATCTACGACGATCGACGACGGCCGGCGAGCTGAAATTGATCGAAATGTAATGTTGCAGGTGCCGTCGGCGAGGGTGCTGCAGGAGACGTGCAGCTACATCCGGAGCCTGCACCGGGAGGTGGACGACCTCAGCGAGCGCCTCGCCGAGCTGCTCGCCGCCGCCGACGTCAGCACCGCGCAGGCCGCCGTCATCCGCGGCCTGCTCATGTAGCCGCCTTCACCGCCGCCGCCGCTCGCCGGCGACCCGTTTAGAGATCGATGAGACTGGGGCCCATCCGTAGCTTTATTTAATCTACTAGAAGGGAGAGAGAGAGAAGGCATGCTTGTGTGCTTTAATTTTGATTCGATGAAGATTAATTACATTAATAAAACCATGATTTTTTGTTAGTTTCTTCGTAGCAGTGTAACTGCATTTTTTTTTTGTTGTCATAATTTTGACCGGAATGAACATGCTCCTGTTAGCGTCTTTTCCAACTGACACGAGACTCACCTAAATATGTTCTATGCTAGTGGAGTCGTCAATCACATTGATCTAGAAAACTCTAAACCAAGATAGGCTTTAGAGATTAAATCGGCAAATGAAAATGATTTAGAGAGCAAAACCAGCATTTAGGCTGATTTACATTGATATGGAGATAACCATCCATTTCGTGGGTGAATCGGAAGGTTTACGGAATAAACCTACAAAGTACATTGCAGTCTCTCCACAAAAGCAGAAGATTCACGGTGTAAATCGATGGAAATAGATGAACTGAGATAAAGTAGAAAACATAGCTGAAAAGTAAAATAAAACAGTGATTCGATTGATTGTGTAAGGTTTGGGTCTAGGATTAGAATCTAATCGGCCATAGCAATTACAAAGAGATTGATCTTGCCTCCGAAAGGACTTCTCCACATTCTGTTAGGCCTAGAAATCGATTACGTTTTCAAAAATCTCGCATCCAAGCAAGGAAACACGAGAATATTCTTAATTGGACTCGGACTCGGACTCGGACTCGAGTTTGGTGATCTAATTGGTCACACAAAATAGCGGCTTAACGGCAGTTCACCCTCTGGTCTAACCAGCCACAAAACAGCGGTCAGGCCGGTCTCCATGGGAAATATTTGCTTTATTTAAAATCCGACCCAAATTTATGATAAATTTGTCCAAGTGTTAAACTTGGTTGTCAATAGCTTCTAAATTACATGTTCAGTCTATTATCATTTTTCATATCACTACTGGAGAAACCATCTTTGCTAGGTTGGCCAAAAACCACATTAGTCCCGGTTTGAATAGGAGCCAGGGCTAAACATCATTTTTCGTCCCGGTTTAAAACTCCAATGGGATAAGATGATCTTCAGTCCTGGTTGGTAACACCAACCGAGACTATAAATCATCCTTAGTCTTGGTTCATTCTTTGTTAGGCCGTGGCAGGCACCCTATTATCTTTAGTCCCGGTTGGTGTCAATAACCGGAACTAAAGATCAATACTTTAGTTCCAGTTGTTTATATCTACCAGGACTAAACATTAAAAAAAAAGCGCACGGGAGGGAGAGAGGAAAAATCGCGCGTGGGAGGGAGAAAGAGAATAGCACAAGCGTAGAGAGCAAAAAAAAAAATCTGTCTCTCTCTCTCCCTCAACCTTATCTTCTTATCTTCTTCTTCTCCTCCTCCCCTCTCTTCCCCCTCCTCCTCCTCCTCTCCCAGTCCCTCCCCTCTCCTCCCCACCTCCTCCTCCTCCTCTCCCGGGCCCTCCCCTCTGCGACGGCTGCGGCCGGTGGGCGGCGGGCTGCGGCAGGCGGCGGAGAGCGGTGGTGAGGCCGTTACGGAGGGCGGCGGCAGAGACTGTGGGCGGAGGCGCGGCCGAGGCTGCGGAGGGCGGCGGGGCGCGGCTGTCACGGAGGATTTTGTGTTGTAAATATCTATGTTGATTTTGTGATGATTTTGTGTTGTAAATTTGGGATGATTTTTAGATGTTTTTTGAATTATTTTGTAATGTAAATCTGTGGTTGATTTTGTTGTTAAATTTGTGGATGATTTTGTGAACGAGGATGATTTTATTGCTGAGTTCGGTTTGAAATCAATATTCAAACAGAAAAAACAATGAAAAAGGAAAAAAAAAATACAGCCGGGCACGTGGCTTAGCCATCTTGTACCAACCGGGACTAAAGATCGATCTTTAGTCCGCGGTATTTAAACCAGAACTAAAGATAGAGATTTGTAGCCCCGGTTTACTACCCGGACTGAAGGAGGTTGCAAACCGGGACTACAGAGGGTTTGTGCAGCAGTGGATATAACAAACATGCGTATGCTATGCAGATATGTAGCAACAAAGTTCAGTTAATGGCTAGAAATCTATGGGCCTTCGCAATCTCCTAAAGTTTAAAATTTCACATTGATGTTACTGTAACTTTAGCGAAAATTTAAAAAAGAATTAACACTGCTAGCCCTCGATCTCCAACATATAATTTTTAGTGTTTCCAACTCGATCAGCCACCGACCTGATCTAGTTATTTTCTGATAATTGAGCTACCACTGGTATATAAGCCATAGAAAAATAAATTAAGCAAAACCAAAAATAACTCATAGGTAAAACTTTGGTGATGTCTATTTTTGACCTTTAAATTTAGTTTTTTTTTTGCCCTAAACTACAAACCTGATTATTTTTTACCCTCGACCTTTTAAAACCGAAGAAATAACACTGAAACCATGTTTCACAGTGGGTTTTTGCTACATGAACATCAATTAGGTGATGGTGATCTAATTACATTAGGAAAGTATGCATCAAAATGGTATAAGATATGAAAACCATCTTCATTTCAACAGAACCACTAAAAATATATTTATTTTTATCGAAGGTGTTATTTTTCTCATTTTGAAAGTTTGCTGAAAAATAGAATCTGAGCAAAATTTGAGGTTAGCGGTTCAAATATTAAAGCTAGAAAATATACTATAATGAATTAACTCTAAAAATTAAGTTTCAAAAATTATATTTTGGCTGCGCATAATAAGCCAATATACAGACGATGAAAGCCGTCGGTGGTTGCATATGCATAAGCCTTTTTCATTGGAGATCCTCAGGTTGAAGATAACATTTTCAATTGGTTCTAGCTAGGATTTAAAAGAAGCTAGATGAAGTGAAGTTCTACAACTTACAAGGTATCCCTGTCAAACAAATCTGGAGATTTTTGATTCAGAAAATATATAGTATTTTCGATCTCTCCTCCGACAGGGTCCCCCATTCAGCAATGAGCACTACAGAGTCAAATGAGCTCCTAGTGAATTTTTCTATAATCTGCCGACCAGTTAGGTGCATGTAACCACAACTTGTGCTTTGCATTATTGTGTGAGCTCACAATAATTAATTTGACACAAGGATCGATTGACACTGATTTCACTAGTTAAAATTTTCTATTCTCAAATTTGATTGTAATATGTCAGTACCCGAACCTGCATGTCACCTAGCTAGCATATATATTGTGCTTATTTATTTAATTTTGAAAAAACTAGGGAATAGTAGTGAAAAACCAGAGAAACAATGGATGGCGCTAGGAAAAACCGGTTTTTTAAGTAGTGAATAGTTCTGAAAATTAAGTTCCAATCGTTTTTTTTAAAAAAGAAACAAAAGAACGTTTACAACCCCTGCACGAGTCACAAACTTAGGAGAGAAAGAAAGGACGAAGTTACGTTGAACGCAAAGGTTTAAATTTAACTATATATCTAGGTATGTTATAAGGGTCTGGTAGGATTCGATTTTTATATATGTATTTTACATATTTAATCTATATTTTCAGTGTAAATAAATACTGCTTTGAGAAGCTAGCTGATTCAATCTCTCCTAGTTAACTAGTCGATCTCGCACCAAAAAAAAATACAAAAGAAGAAATTAATTTCAATTTATGTGATATTAGTCCACAAGGATAGATTCAGCTATCATTTTCTTTGTTATTTCCTTCGTATGTAAGGGACACTTTAAAAATGCTTCGTAGGGGATACTTTTAGCTAGCTAGGTAGTTTGGTGAGTTGGATAGTTACATATGAATTTTTTTTCTACCACATTCTGTCAGTGAGCTGGTTTACATTTCACCCTTGATTATGTATTTTTCTTCTGGTGAGTGGAAGGAATTGGATTTTTCAGCTTCACTCCCCATCAATTGTACACGATTATTTCTCAGTTTTTAAGTTGGTGATCACATTGATGATTATTCCTTATAGATTACATCAAAACAGAACAGATCAAGGAAAGGCTTGGGCTCAAATGGAAGCCCCATCCTAACTCTTTAGTTTACAGGCCAGCTGGCCCAGCTCAAGCCCACAATGAACTCTGCCTATTTTAGTCCTTTATTATGAATGGATGTTCAATTGATTTTTGCAAAATGCAAATGTTTTCTCTATCATTCATTTTGTTCCAAAATTCATACCAGTAGAGCTACTCATATATGTAGGGAGGTGAATGGTTAATCAAATCCCAAAGCAATATATAGTAAGATAGATAATGTAAGACAAAACTGGAAAATTAAAGCCAATAATCTCAACTCTCAGTTAATTCATGTCCAAAAGTCCGAAAAACCCACAAACCAGAGCAGCACACAACATCAATAAATTCTTGAGGCAAAAGAAAAATGGCATTTAAGAAAATTAAAATATTGTGTCGATAATCATTTGGCTGGATAAACCCACTAAAAATAGGGATGCTCCAATGAGATCATGCGGCACAATGTCTCACCGCTCCCTCCTCTCCTTGTTTCTCTCCATTCCATGCATCCACAAGTTCATCATATCCGTCGTCGTCTTCGTCTTCCTCAGTTTATCTCCATTTCTCCTCTTGCTTCAACTTCGATCTCTTGGGATATAACTAGCTTAGCTATAGCTCTAGCTAAATAGGTTCGTACGTATAGGATATTTGATCCATTGATCGATGGCCGTCGACATGGAGCTCGACGGCGGTGGCGACGGCAAGGGCAAAGCCCCGCCGCAGATAAGCCTGTCGGGGCTATTCCTTGCGTGCATGGTCGCCGGTGGCGTGCAGTACGGCTGGGCGCTGCAGCTCTCTCTCCTCACCCCGTACGTTCAGGTATGTGTTTAAGGCGTTTTGGCCTTTTTCATTTTCGTCTATATTCATTAGCATCTATATGAATTTGAACACACACACACACACACATATATATATATATATATATATATATATATATATATATATATATATATGGATTCACGTATGAATCTATTCAAAACCCAAACTGTCTTAACTAATAATATGGAACAGAGAACATAGTACTACTTAGTTGTTGTGATTGTATATATGTACTATACTTTTCTTGTCTCCAAGAGGGAGATTTTTTTTTCTATTGTCTTTTAACTCTTTATTGATGTGAAGGTGTAATTTGTTTGTGTGGAAATATTTGGAGGAATTCCAAATAGTATTGGGAATATCAGATTTCCTCTTATGCTGCCTGTTTGCTATGGCTAATCTTGATCTAACTCCCACCTCAAAAAAAAAACATGTAGCTTAACATCTAGCTTTCATATTAGCATCCTCCCAATTAAGCTGGTTTTAGCTATAGCCTATTTTATGGTGTTTTTACTCATTATGTTCCTTTGGAAAGCAACAATATAATTGTTTTCCTCATTCTTGTAGAGTTGAATTAATTCCTGTGAAAATCTGAAAAAAATTGTGTGTACAATTCCAGCATTTCTAAACAAAAGCTTGAACATTTGCTAATATACAGTTTTCAAAAGAAAAATTTTGGAACTGGATTTCACGATTCATTTTTCCAAGGCACTTGTCCTGCAAAAAGTTCTATAGCTGTAATATGGGCAATTCCTTGAGTAATAAGTCATTTATTTCACCGCAAGTTCTTGCGTAGTTGTGGTGTAGGTCAGATTGTTTTTATCCATGAACTTATTACTTCTGTAAATTAATTTGGTATATATTGTTAAGTTCAGCTATATCCTGGTAATAGAAAATGAATGTTTTTATTAGTAAAAGTTTTTTTTATAAAATGAAATGAATTCATTTCTATGTTTAGGAGTAAAGCATTGTCTAGCACAGCAAGGGACTGTAACTAAAAATGGTATGTGAGTTGTTTCATTTTTGTTCTAACTGAACCATGGCACCATATAACAAAGTATTAATCTTGAATAAAGTCACCAGATGTTATTTTTTGGTCAAAATAAAAAGGCATTTTCCATATATTTACAATCATACTACCAAATTAAAATTATACTCCCTCCGGTTTTTAATGTACCACGTCATTAACTTTTAGACATATGTTTGAACTTTTTGTGTTATTAAAAAAATAATGCAAATACGTACATATTATCAAGATTGCGGTAGATTCAGATCAATTTTCTTGTGTGGCTTGTTTTGGCCTAGGAGTACACGGACTAACCAAGTTATTGTATCAAAATGAACAACCTACAAGTTGTTGTATCTATTTGCACCCACCACGCAAGTTCATGTACCATGAGCACAATTTACTCCTTATATTATCTTTAATATAAAACAAATCAAAACAAAATAAATATTTATTACATAATTCTTTTAATAAGACAAATGATCAAACATCGTCCAAAAGTCAACAGCGTCGTACATGCATGGAAAACCTGAGGGAGTACCCTTGTTGTGCTTTGATAAAATCCAGCATGAACTAATTACTAATTTCTCTTCATATATGTGCATGGCTTAATTCATTCACTAACTTCATTTCACTATCACTTTGTTTGGAACAGACATTGGGAATTCCTCATGCACTCACTTCAGTTATGTGGCTCTGTGGCCCTATTGCTGGCTTAATTGTAAGTAGTGCCCTATCTATGGCGATGTCATATATCATTCCCTGGTCTTAAAAAAAGAAAACTCACAAAATTATATCAAGATTTATGATTTCAGAAACATGATCCCTCAAAGTACGTTTTCTCCTCACGTTTGTGCCTTTCATCCTGCAGGTTCAGCCATGCGTCGGCCTGTACAGTGACAAGTGCACATCCAGCCTTGGAAGACGTAGACCGTTCATCCTCACTGGATGCATAATCATCTGCATATCTGTGAGAAAAACCCAATTATCATCCAACTACTCTCTTCGTTTCATATTATAAATCGTTTAAACTTTTTTTTAAGTTAAACTTGTTTTAAAAAATTTTGATCATCAAATGTATATAAAAATATAGTAATATTTATAGCACCAATTTGCACTACATTCCCAGTGTCCTGCAACCAAATTGATAGAGAGATATTCGCGGCAGCCACGACCATCACCCTATGAGATAGAAAGACGGCGAGTTTCTGCACTCGCACAGGCTTGAAAACAAGATTCCTAAGACAATGGCACCGGCCATCTACGCATCTTCAAGGTGAAAGAATCAAATAGTTTGCGAGGCCCTCTCCTCTAACACTTTGATTCGTGACATCTGACTGCTACAAATCACAACAGTAGATCACCTAAGTCAGTATGTCGAGCTATGGACCATGATCCAGAGAATAGGCCCCTTAGGATACTAGAGAGACACCATCACTTAGAAGTTTACAGCAAATGGTGAATAGTCGGCAAAATCGGCTTATCAGCTACAATTCCTATGTGCAGTAGGAACGGTGTTCAATCAAACAATTTGGAAATGTTAGGCGCCCCTAAAGTGCAAATTTTTCATATAGTTGGTCATCCAAAATAGGGTGTGGACGGCTGATAGGCTATAGAAGAGAGGTTAGCAAAACCAAAGAGTCTGCCCCTTCTATAGAGTATCACAGGAAACGACAATCCATCTTATCGCAAAATGCAGGCTCTCTATAAGGATTTAGACAGCCATACAACATTGGGCGAGCATAGACCTCAAAATACAAGATTGGGACGCTTGCGCTTCGATGGAAGAATGGTGGAAGAGGGTTCTTCACACACCGCACATCCCCAAAGGACCTTTAAAATCCCTGATTATCCTGGTGGGTTGGGAGCTCTGGTGTGAGAGAAACACTAGGATATTCCGCCACGTGGCTACCACCCTGACAACCATCATCGCTAAAATCAAAGAAGAGGGGTTGGCCTGGATCAAAGTGGGATCAAAGTGGGAGCCGCAAAAGCTCGTTGAGTTAACTTCGTTGGAAGAACCCTATAGTTTCTCCTTCTGTGGGCTCTTTTTTTTTATGGCAGGCCCTGTAAATAACTCTTTTTTTGGTTGTTTGTTTTTTCTCCTACTCTATCAATATATGCAAGGTAAAGCTTTCGTCTTTTTTTTTAAAAAAAAAGTGCACTATATCTAACAATTCATAAATTTAGTTAAAACTAAAGTGACTTAAAAGTTAAAAAAACTAATAATATGAAACGGAGGTAAGTAGTTAGTTATTTGATTAACTAATTACATGACTGACAGGTGATCGTCATCGGGTTCTCCTCGGACATCGGCTACGCTCTCGGCGACACGACTGAGGACTGCAAGTAATTAAGCTGCTCGATCACTGACAGTGACAGAGCTTGATGAATTCGCTGATTAAATCATTGGTCGATTAGTAAGCAAAATTTCAGGATTCGGACTCGCTAATCGAGCGACTTAATCCATCCAGGGTTTACAGGGGTCCTCGTTACCATGCAGCGGCGGCATTCATCCTCGGATTCTGGCTGCTCGACTTCTCCAACAACACCGTGCAGGTATGCAGCCTGAAGAAGAAGAAAGAAAACTCTCAGCTCTGAATCCATCTGAAACTCTGAATAATCTGCAATGTGATATATGATTCTCGCGCAGGGTCCAGCTCGCGCTCTGATGGCCGATTTGTCAGGTGAGTCGTGAGAAGATTAACACCAGATTTTATACCTGATTTGATGACAGATTAGTTGTGTTCTTGGTTTTGGTTTTCTGAATTTTGTTGCTTACTGAACATTGGAATATATTCAGGTCGGCATGGCCCAAGCGCGGCCAACGCGATCTTCTGTTCTTGGATGGCATTAGGCAACATCCTTGGCTACTCCTCCGGATCCACCAATGACTGGCACAAGTCGGTGATCGATCGCTGATGACTACAGCTGCTCTGAATTTTCTCATCATCAAAATCATCTATGGAATGCTAAATCAGCAGCTTTGATCAGTTCTTGATGCCAATTTTTTTTTCTAAGAAAAATGAACGGAATGCTATATTCATAGTGGAATTGCATTGCATGTGGCCGCAGGTGGTTTCCCTTTCTCATGACCAGGGCTTGCTGCGAGGCCTGCGCGAATCTCAAAGCGGCCTTCTTGGTTGCAGTGGTAATTATTTTATTTAATTAAAAGCTGCAGCTTTTATACAACTATAGTACCTTCAAAATTGAAGGTTTTTACGTGACATGTATTTTTTTCTATTACACGAAAGACGATGCGTAATGCATCATGGAACACACATTCAAGACAAGACCAGCGACAAAATCTCTAAAATTACTAAATTTGATTTTGATGTAATGTGCGCAGGTGTTTTTGGGGTTGTCGACGGCGGTGACGATGGTGTTTGCGAGGGAGGTGGCGCTGGACCCAGTGGCGGCGGCGAAGCGGAACGAGGGTGAGGCGTCGGGGCTCCTCGCCGTGTTCAAGGGGATGAAGAACCTCCCCGTCGGGATGCCGTCGGTGCTTATCGTCACCGGCCTCACCTGGCTCTCGTGGTTCCCCTTCATCCTCTTCGACACCGACTGGATGGGCCGCGAGATCTACCATGGCCGCCCGGACGGCTCCCCCGCCGAGGTCACCGCCTTCCAAGAGGGTGTCCGCCAAGGCGCCTTCGGCCTCCTCCTTAACTCGGTCAGATCGAGCTATCCATCAATTACTTGCCTTTTTTTCTCTCCGGTTTAAAATATTTGATGTTAAGAATAATATTTAAATTATTTTTTAAAAAATAAAATTGACCTAAAACCTAAAGTTTTGAATTGTGATAGTGTTAATACTTTTCGAGGCAAATATGCACATAAAAGTTTTCTTTTTCTACTTTTTTAACTAACAATTTGAAAAATGATTTAACTGTCAAGTTTTCAAAATCCTGATCAAATCTTTTCCCTGAACGTCTATTATTTTCTTTTACGGAGACTGTATCTACTAGCTACTTCATTCCACGTTATAATAATAAGACGTTATGATATCACCGTTACTCGTATAGATTCACTATCTTTCATATGAATCTAAACACATATATAATACACACGAATTAATCTATACGTTAATCTTTACTACTTAAAACAATGAAGATGTTTCTTCGTCCATCCAAATAAAAAAAAAGCAAAAAAAAACATAAAATGAAAGGGGAGGCAAATAAAAAACCGGTGAGCCGAAAAGAGGTACACCGAGCAGAGTGAAGGAATGAGTGTTTGGTCCAAAACCAAGGAAATACAATGTATAGGATAAAGCTGTTGTAACACACAGTCATTTTTTCATTCCATTGAAAACACTAAACGTCTTGTTGAACTGACACGTCGGCAATGGCCGCAGATCGTGCTGGGCATCAGCTCGTTCCTGATCGAGCCGATGTGCCGTCGGCTGGGCGCCCGCGCGGTGTGGGTGATGAGCAGCGCCGTCGTGTGCGTCGCCATGGCGGCCGTCTCCGTGCTCAGCGCGTGGTCGCTCGGCGACTTCGGCGGCTCGGTGCAGGACGCAGCGCGGGCGCCGGCGGAGGAGGGCGGCGTCAGGGCGTCGGCGCTGGCGCTCTTCGTCTTCCTCGGCCTCCCCTTCGCCGTCCTCTGCAGCGTCCCGTTCGCCGTCACGGCGCAGCTCGCGGCGAGCCGCGGCGGCGGGCAGGGCCTCTGCACCGGCGTCCTCAACATCTCCATCGTCGTGCCGCAGATGGCCATCGCCCTCGGCGCCGGGCCCTGGGACGAGCTGTTCGGGGAGGGGAACATCCCGGCGTTCGCCATGGCGTCCGTGTTCGCCGCCGCGGCCGCCGCCGCCGGCGTCGTCTTGCTGCCCAAGGTCTCCGTCCGCTCCGTCAGCATGGCCGGCGGCCACTGATCACTACTAGTCTATCACCCTTTTTTTTTCCGTGGTTTTAAATCTCCCGCTATAGCTGCTGCTATCTCCAGTTAGAGCGGGTACTATAGCAGGCTATAAGCCAGCTGTAAATATATTTCAAGAAGATAAATGAGGAGAGAGAAGAGCAGCGGGCTACAGATTTGTAGCTAGCTGTAGCACAGACTCCAAGACGCAGCGTGCATATGACAGGTGGGACCAGGTATTAATTGTGTAGTATGTAACTATTATATGAATGAGCTATTAAATTAGCTATAAATGAATTGGAGCTAGTAGTTGGCTATACTATTAAACTTGCTCTTATAGCTGTTTGAGAAGAGTTCTAGCTATTTGCTCTCATGCGTAATTTAGCCGCTATAGCTCCACTTAATCCACAGTTAGCTGCTGCTATAGCTGTTTGAGTATGCTAACTGCCAAATATTTTAGCCCGCTAATTAAAACACTGCTAATCGATTAACTAACTAACTAATTATTTACAGTGACTCACTAAGCTATAGAGCTAGCTAGTTAACTAATGACAATTAGTAGTGATAATATATATTCTGGGTTAGTTCAAATGTTGGTAGTCTTATTTTAAACTTGTTTTTTTTTATCTTTTGTAAATCATGTGGACTTTGGATGGGTAATGAGGAATTAATGCAAATGGGCTTCGATGGGCTCCAATCTGTGATATGCTTCCAATCTTGGAATAAGTTCACCTGCCCTCCCTCAACTTTACATCGAGTTTGTATAACATCCCTAATCCCCGATATAAAAAATCTTCACCCCTAAACTACATAAAACCGTGCAATTCGGGTCCTATAGCAGTATGGATCTCTAGTTACACTGACGTGGCATCCTATTCAGCAAAATAAAAAAATATATATGTGTCCCACATGTTAGCCGTCCTCTTCTTCCTTCTCTTTTCTTCTAGGATGGGGAGGGATGGGGACGGCCGATCTAGCTAGGGTAGCAGGCTGTTGGATCCGGGCGCCGGAGGCGCCCGCCCCCTCAGCCGCCGCCACTCCCCAGGGTGGGGGAGCTACCTCCACCTCCACTACCGCCCGCCTTAGGCCCTCAGCAGCCTACACCTCCGCCCACCACCGTAGTGAAGGGAGGTGAGCCTCTCAGTGGTGGTGAAGTGAGCTGCGCCCATGAGCCGCCGGTTGGTAGCCACGACGGGTTCCTTGGCCTCACCAACGCCTCAACCCGCCTCACCGCCTCCGCCTCCACCTCCGCCTTAGCCGCCTCCGCCTCCACTCGCCGTCTCGGTGAAGGGAGGTGAGCCTCCCAGCAGCGGTGAAGGGAGCAACGCCCGCGAGCCGCCGGTCTGTAACCACGGCGGGTCGGTTCACCAACGCCTCCACCAACGGCACCGCCACCAACAGGTTCATGGCCGTGGAGTTAGATGCACCAAAGCAACGCGTGTGCATTGCGGTGTGCTTGTCATCCCTGTCGCTGCCACCGTTGTCGGACCCCGGGGCCGACAACCCACCCTCGACGAACGCCACAGAGTCGCTCAGTGAAAGGCGGTCCGCACCCCGCTACGACGCCACGAACTCGGCGAACTCATCCGCCCATGCCGCGTCCCTGGTGCCGGCCTTCGACGTCAACGGCATCTGATCCGCTGCCATCATCGCCATTGTGAAAGCTTCGCCTCGGACCTCCACCTCGTCGTCGGGTGCGGTGGTGGCGGCGGAGCCTCTCGAGGTGGCGGATCTCGGCCGGACTCACCGGCTGCTTCTCACCCATTTGCCACCGGCAACCTCCCGAGAAGAGAAGCAAGGAGAGAAGAGAAGAAAAGAGAATAAAGAAGAGCTATGGGTCCCACATTTTTTTCTCAGACTTACATGTGGGCCCCATATATCTTTTTATTTTATTTTGCTGACTAGGATGCCATGTTAGCAAAACTAGACATCTATACTACTCCATCCATTCCATAATATAAGGCACAACCACTTTTTAGATGTTCCATAATATAAGGCATGTATGTATATAGGTTATTAACTATGACCTCTTCTCCATTAAATTATTACTTTTTTAAATCCTTCACTCTCATGTTCTCTAATTCTATTGGATGCATGCATTGTATTTATTAGGATGATATAAACTATAAGATGATAATAATTATTTTCTTGGTCTTTGGGTTAGAGGTGGTTATGCCTTATATTCTGTAATAGAGGGACTACTATGGGACCTAAATGGCACGGTTTTGTATAGTTTAGGGATGAAGATTTCTAATATTGAGGATAAGGGATGTCAAACAAACATGGTGTAAAGTTGAGGGAAGGCTGGTGAACTTATTCATCCAATCTTCCATGGCAATGCAGCCTAAGGATGGGCCCTATTCTCGGGCCGAGAGATTATATTTGGGCTGAAAATCAGCCAGAAGCCCAAATTTCATACATTTCTAAGGCTCTAAAGGGAAGGAACTTCTAAGGCTCTAGAGGGCCCATTCAGACAGCGTTTTAATAATATTTATGGGTACTGAACTGCTCCATGGAATCGAACTATTTTAGGGTTGTTTTGGTTATCTACATTGCCAAATATTTGTGTGCGGCACTGCCGATTACTCCCTCTACTAATAACTATAAAACACTTTTAAAATAGTGATAAGTCAGACAATTTTAGCGTTCACTTTCAATTGAAAAAAATAATGACGTAAAAAATGATGTTACTAGTACTAGATTTATCAATCAACAAACTACCATAATATATAACTATTTTATTTAAAATAATATACTTTTATAAATATTATTTGTCAAAACAGCATATCACAGGTGGTGGGTTGAAGTCCAAAAGCACTTAAATTTGTGACGGGTTGTGACAGGAGGAGTACTTAATAATGTAGATTTGTTAAGATTATATTTGGTCTGTGACGAGTAGTAGCCAAATTAGTATGGCTAAGAGAGATTTGGATTGGTAGCGAGAAATGTTGCTAAATATTTGGCTTCGATCCTAAAAACAACTCGAAAGTACTATTCAAACTACTAACAGAATTGGTAGGGTGCAAATTGGATTCAATCCATAATAACCCATATAGTTTCTAGTATTGTACTCCCTCTTCATATTATAAATCATTCTGATTTTTTTTCTAGTAACTTTTTTAAGTTTGATCAAGTTTGTAGAAGAATCTAGCAACATATGCAAGACTAATTAGTTTCATTAAAACTAACATTTAATATATTTGATAAGGTTTATTTTACGAGATGTGCTTCTATGCTCCTAAATAAAAAAAGCTGCACGAAAATCAAAGTTCACCGGTGGCTGAGATTAAAACAGGATTAACACTTAATCCTTATTAGCGAGGGGTATTTTTGTCCATAGGATTAACTTTGAAGCGATCCCCACCACTAGGCCGGTTACTCCACGACCGCGACCGCGACGCTCTCTCCTCGGGCAGCGCCGCTCCTCAGCCGCGGAAGCATGCCAGCACTTCCCTCGCCACGCCGCCCTCTTCTTCCCCTCGCCTTGTCGCTTCCCGGCTCCGGCGCTCCGCCTTTTTTTCCCCTCGCCTCACCGCTTCCCGGCCCCGGCGCCGCTCAGTCTAGCGCCACCCGTCTTCCTCCTGCAAGTAGTGCCGCCTCTCCGTCCTCTTCTTCCATGAAAAGAATGTTATGAGAACACAAATGAGGAATAGCCATGTAAATGTGTATAGGCACTTCCGTTGGGAACATACTCATAAACAAGCATCTGCGTGCCATTCTGCCTCCCCCATTCATTTATACAGCTCACCACCAATATATCCACGATCACAGTTCACATGATCACATCAAACTTGCAGCAAGCTGGCCATTGCAGACAGAGATCAAACAAGCCAAAAGGCACAAGCTGGAATGGCAACTTGGCCTTGGATGAGGGGTAAATCATGTCGCCGAAAAAGCTGCTGCTTCAACTGTTGCTAGGGCCGCTTGACAGCTGCCGGCACGGCGGCGTTCTCGACGTCCACGTTACCGTAGTCCTCGGCTCCTCGCGCTCAAGGCGAATCTTGTTGCGCAAATAGTGGCGACGGCCGGGAGGTCATCAGGGGCGGCGCTAACCGGATTAGATGGAGCGAGGCGGCAGTGCTCCATCGGCATCGGCATCACCCGTTCCCCACAACGGCGCCGGCCGACCACCTACTCTGGTTCCCTGGCGCCACACGTATCCATGGGTGCTGGGTCTAGGCGGCGGCGCGGGGGAGGAAGAGGGCAGAGCAGTGGCGGCAAGGCGAGTGAAAAGCGCACGGTACATGCGCGTTGTTACGGTGGAGTTAGACTGGGCTCCAAATTTTATGGACAAAAATACCCCTCACTAATGATGATTACACTGTTAATCCGCTTTTAATCTCAGTCATTGATGAGCTTTGATTTTCGTGCAACATTTTTATAAGGAGCATAGAAGCACATCTCGGCCATTGATTTCATATTGTAAGACACGTGCCGCTGGTTGCTCTAGTGCCTAGTGTACATGCAGGTATATATACTCATGCCATTTCTCTATAAGGTGATCAATACAATTTCAAGGTTGGCTGATGGAAGTAAACAAGTGTGAATGGGTTTGTCAGGATCCCGGGTGGGCCGCACACGGGCTGGTCAGCCCATCGCCATGAGGCCCAAGCAAACGGAAGGGAGCAGCATACAAGCAGTAGCATCGGCAACACCAGGGGGCATCGAAAGATCATTTGGACTTGGCGGAGCTGAAGCTCCCGGCGGCAGCGGTGACTTGGGCGGCCGGTGGGCACCCTCGTCGATCTCTCTCCCCTACCTCTCCTCCGATCTCCAGCCTCCCCCCCCCCTCGATTCTAGAAGTTTCCAGTACTTGTATTCCATAGCTTCTTCTTCTCTCCCCAAAACAGTTGTTGCTTCTATGGTGGATGCTTGTTGTTGAGTTGGAAGTAGTGGGTTCCTAACAATCTGGTATCAGAGCTATCGATTCATGGGATTTCTAGCATGGAGTTGATAGGAGAGTACTGCAGCAATGCCCCATGCAAGTGGTTGTTGGATTTGGGCAAGGGTGGTGCTCATGACACCAACGCCCACAACCTGTTCGATGGAATGCCTAGCCAATCTGAGATACCCAAGGAAGATCAGAGGACATCTAAGCCTGTCCCCATCAATTCTACCATGAACAAAGAGGAGAAATGGCTAGACAAAGCTCTAGATCGGATATTGGAGAAGTTTGAACAAATGGAGGCCAAGCGCATGCAAGAGGAGAAGATCAATCAGATATTTCAAAAGTTGGAGGACATAGAGGTTCTTAGGAGCAAGGCTTCCGAGGAAATAATTGAAGCCATCAGGGCAACCACCGCTGTTCTCAAGGC